ATATCAGGAATTTTCTGTGGGAGGGCAAGAAATCGCGGATTTCTTTTAAGATACTCCAAGGGAAAAGGAATTTGGGAGGTTTTGGGCTCCCTGACTGGGAACTATATCAAAAGGCGGCAAAAATAATCTGGATTAAGGAGTGGATCAAGTTACAAGATAGGAGAACCCTGACCTTGGAAGGACATGACCTTCTAGAAGGATGGCACTCCTACCTTTGGGATATAAAGAACAAGAAAAAATCCTATTTTCATAAACATAAAATTAGGGAGACCCTTATTCACATGTGGGTCGAAATTAGACAGAAGATCTATACGAAAGTACCCAACTGGCTTTCCATCATGGAAGCGTTGGCGGCACCAAACAGGAGAGATGAGTACAAATGGGGTACATACAAGGATATCCTTGATGAAGAAGGGAAACTTAAATCGTTGGATCTATTGAGAGATCAGGGCCTAAACTTGGATTGGTGGAACTATTTTCAGATCAACTCAAGATTCCAAAAAGACAGAGACAAATTTGGTATAGCAGCGAAATTTGGGAACTTTGACAAAATTATTTGGGGAACAGATAAGAAAATGTTATCAAAAATCTATAACTTTCTATTAGATGAAGATAGGGCAGAGTCCATAGCAAGAAATCAACTGAACATCTGGGAAAAAAATCTAGGACATAGACTAAATTTTAATGATTGGGAGATATCTTGGAATAGAAACTACAAAATAACTAAATCGACAACGTTTAGGGAAAATCATTACAAATTGTTACACAGGTGGTATCTAGCCCCAGCGAGGCTAGCCAAGATGTTTCCAAATCTCTCTCCCACATGTAGGAAATGTGGAAAAATGGTCGGCACCTTCTACCACCTATGGTGGACCTGCCCTGAGACTAAAAAGTTCTGGTCCAAAATCCGACACTGGCTCTGTGAAATAACGGGACAGGAGGTAGACCTAGCCCCAGAGCTTTTCCTCCTAGGCATAACCGAAGAAGGCTTTAACAACAATAAAACCCAACTGATAATCCAGATTATAACTGCGGCTAGATTAGCTTTCGCAAAATGCTGGAAAAACAAACTTATGCCCTCAGAAGAAACTCTAATAAATAAGATCCTAGAGTGCGCAGAAATGGCGAAACTGACAAGTGAGTTAAAAAACGAGGACAACTCAAAATATTATGATGTATGGGGTATTTGGTATCACTGGTTGAACAATAAGACGAAAACATGACCTTAGAATTTGACTTGGCACATGTATTATAGTTGTATTGTATAAAATAATGTATAGTTAAGGATGAAGTCTTTTTTTAACTTTTGTTTCACTATATTGTATAAACACTGCACCTCCGAAAGGAGAGATAGATTGTATATTTTCTTTTTTGTTTTGGAAAACTCAATAAAGTATTTTTTAAAAAAAATCACTTTTTCCTGCCTTCTCTGGGAAACCCAAAATCAAGTAAGTCAGGAGTAGACTCATTGTTGTTTTGTTCCCCTAATTAACTTGACGAAGTGTGTTAGACAATTATTGTCATTGTATATGGAATTTCCTGACATAATTCTATACATTAATCACTCATTGCTTCTCTGAGGTGTATTTACACCATAGTCAGCAAAAGCCCTTGGTTCTTTTTCCTCCTGTTCTTCTCATAGGTGCCCAAATACAGTTAAAGTGTTCCCAGACTCTCATAATCAATCATAGGAACTTTAAAATCCTCACCATCTCTAACTATTTCTTTGCTCCTATCAAGTTCCAACTTTCACGGAGCCTCTTGCTGGGAAAACAGACGTCTGCCCAGACACACTGTGGAATCTGCTTGGCTGGTACAGATGCACTGCTGCAATTGTGTTCACTCTTCATTCATGTTTATTCATGAATTTAAGGAAAAAACCCCAACATTTCCAATGTTGTATAGAATTCATTGGTTATAAGTTGAAGGCCATCGGCACAGATGGCTTTAAAACAAATTAGAGCAGGATAGTCAAACAGAATGATTATATTGTCAAGAGACCGGAAGCGTCACAGTGAGACTGGCTGGAAAAATAGTGGGCTCTGATGAGCTCGGTGAAAATCCAGCCAGACAAACTGCTGTCAGGGGGGTCTTCGGACTGGAAGCATCCTGTAGGGATGGTGAAGAAGGAGAGGCATTTCAGACAACCAAGAGGTACGGAAAAGTTCCTCGATAGGTCGGAGACAGCTTTTTGGACCAGCGGCGGGGGGGGCGGACATTGCAAAATAACCGCTCTGAAGCTGGGGCAACTGGACTAAGCTTTTGTGCAGGAGCAGAGTGCTGGAACCGGGTGAGTGATTGGCCAACTCACAGGTAAAAGAAAATTTTGAATTTGGACATTAAAAGGTGTCCTGGAGCTGAAATATGTGGCTAATTGGCTAATTGGGAAATTCCATGGAGGGAGAAGGACAAAGCGGAGGCTAAAACATCAAAGCCCAAGAAAGTTTTTGCATTTACAATTGTATTTGGAGAAACAAAAAATTAATAAAAGAACCCAAGGAACAGTATTTTTTATGTGGATTTAAAGTATTTTTGACAGTTTTGACAATTAATTGGTTTAAGAGTACTGTGGATTTAAGAGAGGCATCTGCTGGTGGAGAGTACTTGGTGGAAGATAGAAGAGAATGTACAGCTGTGACCTTGACTACCAGAAAAGATAATTTGGAAACTGAGAACTTTTTGGGAGTGTTTGTCTTTCTACATTGCTTGGTTTCGATTTTCTATGGCTGTGGAAAATAATAAATTTTCAACTTGGAGTGGACTGGACAAATATTTGAATTGGACATCAGAATTTGAAAATAAAAAGAGACTATATGGATTTTAAGTTCTAATTAAATGTGATATAATTTAAAAGTTTTAAGGATTGGTTAAATTGGCAATATGGAATTTTGGATTATGAGGAATTAATTGAGATGTTTAAAAATATTTGTGCATCTCTAAAAGGTAATAAAAAGTCAGAAATTTTGCTGGAATACACAGAGCAGAAAATAGGAGAGAAGGTGGTAAAATAGAGCATAAATAAGGAGCAAGAAAATAATACTGAAGGAAAAGGAATTTTAGACAAAAAGCAGTGAGATGATATCACTGGGATTTACAGTGGCACAAAAAGAGTGGACGGGGGAAATGTCCCCCAAAAAAGAATCAATCAAAGGGTAAAGAGGGAAATAGTGGGAAGAGATTAGGAGAAAACTTGGGGAGAACTATTCGAAAAATATACTTAAAAGTGAGAAAAAGGATTCAGAAGAAAAGATACAATACATATAAAAAGAAAAAAAAAGAAGAAGTAGTTAAGAGAATGGGATAAAAGGAGAAAATTACCAAGAATTGGAATTTTGGAGAGACCAAGGAAAATGGTTAAAGAAGGGAAGATTAGTGGAAAAGAGGAAGGAAAATAAGGTATATGTTATAGATTTAAGGGAATTGTATTAATATTATTAATTGTAGATGGTCAACCAAGTTAAATGGTTTTTATGTAAGATGTGAATATGATGATATATATTGCTCATAGTAAAACAGAATAGCAGATGAAATGTGAAATGGTAGTTTGGTTTAATTTTGAAGACAATTTAAATTAAGAGACGAAGTTGAAATGTTAAAATGGAGAAATAAGATGATTAATTGATGTTATTGTAAGAGATTAGGAATTAAGGGTGGATAGTGATATTGTTTATGTACCAAGAAGAAAATAAGATAAGATAAAGAAATATGGAAAGAGAATATTATGGCTGAAATTGGAAACAGAGATATGATGTAAAATGGATTTGAAAAGAGACCAACATGGCAGAAGTTGAAATAATAAGATATGGTGAAAAATGATTAATTTGTGATAAAGGATTATATAAAAGAGATAAATATGGAAAAAATGGGACGATTAGAATAGATTATAAAGATGATTATGTATAAGATGTATGACGTGACCTGGTCAACACTCTGTTCATAAAATATTTAAGATGAAAGAAAAATTCTAATAAAACTTATTTACAAAAAACAACAACAACAAAAAAAAAACACGATTATATAGTCCAGGGAAGATGTTGGACGGGGAACAAGAAAACCAGGTTCTAGTCCCCTCTCAATCATGGAAGTTCCTTGGAGAACTTTGAGCCATTCATTATCTCTCAGGCCAAACTACCTCACAGGATTATTGTGACAGGAGGAGGGAGCAACAAGTAGGTCACTTTGGGTTTCTGTTACAAAAGGCACAATAACAGTGACCTAAATTATAAAATGGACCTCAGAAGGTTAGTTCATGAGCCACCCCCTAATGGCCTCTGTGGGAAATCAGCTGTTAAACTATATCACTGCTGGTTGTCTCTCCTTCTCCTTCTCTCATCCCACACTTCTTCCTTCCAGGTCAAGAAAGTGAGTTGACTAACAATATGGGTGGGACATAGGTAACTATGTGGAACCACAATAAACACCTCCATTCTAAAATCAATCTTCTGTTTTTCCCTCTTACTTTAAAACTTGGCCTTCAGAGTTGGTGTGCAACTTGAACTTGGAGAGATGGAAACAAAATGAGTGAAACCCAAACATTTAGTTCCCAATGAAATATTGACACTCATTACTAATGGAAGTAGAAGAGCCTGATTGCCTACAAAGGGGCTCCAAAGCAGGGATGAAATCCAGCAGGTTCTGACAGGTTCTGGAGAACCGGTAGTGAAAGTTTTGAGCGGTACGGAGAACCGGCAAATACCACCTCTGGCTGGCCCCAGAGTGGGACGGAAATGGAGATTTTGCAATATCCTTCCCCTGCCACACCCACCAAGCCATGCCCACAGAACTGGTAGTAAAAAAAAATTGGATTTCACCACTGCTCCAAAGCTATACAGAACGTTTTATTTCAATGCACCTTCTTGAACAATTTAGTTCTGAGTCATTTAGGGGCTCATCACCATACAGTATCCTGGGATGATTCATTCTGCTGTGTAGGAGGTGTGCCACCCACAACTCCTTCCAACTACTTTCCCAATCCAGACACCTGATTTCTTCCTCAGGAGTTGCGGTAAACACCTGCAACTAAGCTTACAGAAACAGGTTGAGAAGTAAAGAACAGAAATGTCTACCTCCATGTCTGGATCCGGCTAAAAACACCTCTCAGCTAACTATCCTATCGGCAACTTCAAGCACCAATTCACTACTGATGATTGTAACTAAGGAATAAGCTGATCTCCTATCTCACTTGGGCAAAAATTATTTACTAACTTGGAGGCTGGTTTAGTAAAACCAGTTACACAATTGTATCAGACTGGCTGTTTGATGAAATTTTGAAGACCTGTCACTTCCTCTTGCGAAGACTATAAATCTTGCTACTACCAAAAAATTAAATAGTTCTAAAAGAAGAGACCATCCCTTGCCAGCCATTGAAGGAAAGAAAGGTAATATACTTATTTTTCTTTTATTTTACTCTGCATATTGGCACTAAGGTTTTTTTTAAGGGAAGTTAAGAAAAAGGTGAAAGGGAATCCAGTCCCTATTGTTCTTGGGGGGTGGGTTATTATATTTATTAAATGTCATTTCTGTTTAACAGAGAACACTTTCCTTGATTATCTACATGTCCTTTGTTTAGTTTAAGTTCTTTCTGTATATCTAGCAATTATTAAAGGGTGGGAGGGAGAGAGAGAGAGAGAGTTTGGTCTAGTGGTTAAGGCACCAGACTAGGAACCAGAAACCATGAATTCTAGTTCTGCCTTAGCCATAAAAACCAGCTGGGGGATTTTCGGCTGGTCATTTTCTCTCAGCCTAACTCACCACACAGAGTTGTTGTTGTGGGGAAAATAGGAGGAGGAAGGAGTATTACATATGTTCGTCCCCTTGAGTTGTTTATAAAAATAATAAAGGCAGGATATTAAATAAATGTATAAATTACATCCAGAAGCCAGAGACTAAAATAGAGAGGTTGGCTGGCTAGCAGGATAAACAACTGAATTTTCAAAAACGGCAATAAATCTCATTTCGTACAATGGGACAAAATTCTGGAATGATAAAAAACTTTTTTAAGTTTACAGAGTTACAGAATATCAGAGTTGGAATGGACCTTGGAGGTCTTCTAATCCACTTCTTGCTTAAGCAGAACATCCTATATACAATGACAGACAAATGGCTGTTCAATCTCTTCCCACAACTTCTGGAGGCAAGCTGTTCCACTAATTAAATTGTTCTCACTGACAGGAAATTTCTCCTTAATTCTAGGTTGGATCTCTCTTTAATAAGCTTCCATCCGTTATCTGCCCTCAGGGGCTTTGGAGAATAGGCCAATCCCCTCTTCTCTTGGCAGCCCCTCAGAGAATAGAGTAGAGTAGAGTAGAGTAGAGTGGAGTGGAGTGGAGTGGAGTGGAGTGGAGTGGAGTGGAGTGGAATGGAATGGAATGGAATAGAATAGAATAGAATAGAATAGAATAGAATAGAAGCTGGAAGGGACCTTGGAGGTCTTCTAGTCCAGCCTCCTGCTCAAGCAGGAGAACCTATAAGGTGGTCTTATACAGTATTGGCATAATCTCTTATTGGTTGTAACTTTTTCCAGGTCCACCGACTCGTCCTACTGTTGCAATGCCTTGTCTGCTATGCCCGTCTCTCTTGTGCTGCCTCCTCCTCCTCCTCCTTCCCTTTCCATTAGGCTCCATTTCTGCTTCTAAAGGAGACACAGTGGTCAGAACTAGCAGTGGCCCCATTAAGGGCAAGCAGTTCCTGGCTGGCCTTGGATCTGTGACAGCCTATCTAGGCATTCCTTATGCTGAGCCTCCCCTGGGGAAGTTGCGTTTCCAGAAACCTCTTCCACATCCGCCATGGAAGCAAACATTGGAAGCCACCAGTTTTGGCAATTCCTGTTCTCAATTTATTTTCCGGGATGTCCCTGAAGCAGATATGTGGTCTTCTAAAACACTACTGTCAGAAGATTGCCTTTCCCTCAACATCTGGGTGCCACAGCCACAACCTTCTTCCCCAGTCCCTGTTTTGGTCTGGATACACGGAGGGAGTTATGCATTCGGCACATCTTCTCTGGAGTTGTTCAACGGGGCATCCTTGTCTGCTGCTGAGAACATCATTGTGGTCACCATCAATTATCGCTTGGGAGCCCTGGGCTTTCTGTACTTGCCACCAGCGGCTCCAGGGAACCTAGGCTTATGGGACCAACAGCTGGCCCTGAAGTGGGTAAAAGAGAATGCAGCTGCCTTTGGGGGAGATCCTTCTCGGGTGACCATTTTTGGCCAGAGTGCTGGAGGATCTTCTGTGAATTTCCATCTTCTTGCACCAAAAAGCCAGGACCTTTTTGCCCAAGCAGTGATCCAGAGCGGAACAGCCAATGCCTATTGGGCTTGGAGGTCTCCTGAGGAAGCTGAACAAAAATCACTGGAATTTGTTCATCTGCTAGGTTGTTCAGAGGACAACAATATCAGCATAGTGCATTGCCTGCAATCAAAAAATGTTTCTGAACTTATTCGGCATGAAATATCTCTGTTCTTGAAAGGTGGCTTCCTTTTGAATTTTCCCTTCAGGCCAACCACAGATGGAGAGTTTTTGCTTGGTGATCCAGAAAAGCTCATGGAGGAGGGGCAAATTCAGGTCAAACCAGTCCTCATAGGTGAAACCTCTGATGAAGCGGCTTCTTATGTCCACTCTGTTTTCCCTAACACCACCCACAATCTCATCAATCAAGAGCAGCTTCTGAAAGGGATACAGCTGTTGGCGCCAAATGCAACTGAAGATTTTATTCGGACTATTGCACTGAAGTACAGTGAAGGAAATCACGGCCCAGCAAAATACCGCTCTGCTCTGTCCCACTTCTATACAGATCGGATATTTGCATGTCCATTGATTGAAACTACAAGAAATATCAGGAAAACTGGGAGTCCTGTATATGCCTATTTATTCGCACATCGCCCTTCATGGTCAGTTTGGCCTGAATGGATTGGAGCAACTCACGGTGCTGAGATTCCTTTTGTTTTTGGAACCCTTGAATCTACGCTGCCTTTCAATCAAACATACACAGAGGCTGAAGCCAGGCTGAGCCATAAGATGATGCATTACTGGGCAGAGTTTGCCAGAACTGGGTAAGTGCAGTGGTGGGATTCAGCCAGTTCGCACCACTTCGGGAGAACCAGTTGTTAATTTTCTGAGCAGCTTGGGGAACTAGTTGTTGGAAGAAATCGTTAGGGCAGAGAACCGGCTGTTAAATTATTTGACACTGAGTAAGTGGTTCATTTTATTTCAAAAATTTGTATTTTAAATCCAAAGAAAGCCTTTCCATTCAACAAATGCACCTTATATCTAAAGCAATGAAGCCATAAAGTAATGCTTGCTATTCCTTTGCGTATGTTTACAGGTTGTGTTAATACAAGTAGTTCATACAACCACAGTTGGGACTAGAATTTATGTTGCTAAGCAAGACAGTTGTTAAGTAAATCATACCCAGTTTTAAAACCTTTCTTACCACAGTTATTAAGCAAATCACTACGACTTTTAAATACAATATGTGATTATGTGAATCCAGTTTCCTCCACTGACTTTGCTTATTGAAAATCAGCTGGGAAGGTTGCAAATGGCGATCATGTGACCCTGGGACATTGCAGCCATTGGAAATACATGCCAGTTGCCAAGCAGCCAAATTTTGGTCACATGACCGTAAGGATGCTGGAATAGTTGTAAGTGCAGGGACCAGTTGTAAGTCACTTTTTTCAGTTCCACTGTAGCCTTGAATGGACGTTAAGTGAATAGTTGTAAATCAAGGACTACCTGTACTGGAAACAGCCTTGAAATTTTTAAGGATTCTTAACATTGTCACTTATAGATAATTGTTCTTTTATGAGTTCAGTGGTATCACACATATTCCCGGGTACATTATTTCTCCAAGTGGAATAAAGGAGGCGAAAGGGAGATAAGAAACAGAGCATTACTCTACCATTAAGAGAACAAGCAAAGGCTTGCAAGGGAGTAAGTAGTGAAGGGGAAACTCACAGGATGGAGGGTGCCCAGGGTGTGAGGAATGGGGGGATGGATTGAGATCCAAGAGTCTATGAGGAGCTGACCTGGGTTTGGATCAGTAAGGAGGAGACACAAGAGATTCCACCAAGCCAAACTCCACCCCTCCCTCAAAGTCCCCTTTGGGAGTTCCCCTTGGTTGTAGTTTCTCAAGTCAAAACCAGTCTCTTTGGAAAAGAGCTACATCAGAATAACAGAATTGGAAGGGACCTTGGAGGTCTGCTAGTCCAACCTCCTGCTCAAGCAGGAATGTGGCCAAAAACGCATGCGCGAAGATGGCGGCGACCGGGTAGCTCCCGAGAGAGACGGGGTGGTTTTGGGCCATGCCGAGGGGTCTAGGGGTCGTTAGAGACATCCACGACCCTAGCCCCGGCGAGAAGAGCTCCTGCCCAGCCTGGGGAGGGCTTTTACGCCCTCCGGAGCATTGCGGCTGGAGCGGGAGCTGGCATTTGGAGAGGCGCGTTTGGAGAGGCATGTGGAAACGCTGTGTGAAGGAGAGGGCGGCAGTCAACCACGCCGAGGGGTTTAAGGGCCGGTAAAACATCTACGGCCCCAGCCCCCAGCGAGAAGAGCTCCTGCCCAGCCTGGGGAAGGCTTTTACGCCCCTCGGACCATCGCGGTTGGTGCAGGCGGGCAGCGTTTGAGAGGCACGTGGAAGCGCCGTGCGAGGGAGAATGGTGGCGAGGATGGCAGCAGTTGGGGAGTTTAGTTTGTTTGAAACTGCTCCCCCTGATATTCGGGCTGCTCCCCCTGACATTCGGGTTGTGGAGGCCTCTCCCTCTCCCATGTGAAGGAGAAGGAGTGACGGAGACGATGGAGCCAGGAGGTGGGTGGCTGGGACCTTGGATGATGGCCCCCCCCTCCCCCCGCCACTGGAGGCGGCGGATCCGAGGCAGTAGCAGCGGATGACCGTAGCCGAGATATGACAGCATGATGGTGGCCAAGATTAACTACATGGCGGAGGAGGTGATGTTGTTATCCTCCTCTGGGGATATTGCTCTCCCCCCCCCCGCAGGACTGTTTCCAGAATAATCACACGGGACCTCCCCCTTATTCTTCATTTCACCTATGCCTTAGCCAGATAGAGAGACTATGGGGGAGCTGAGGGATCCATTTCTACTCCAGCGAAGGAGCTGTAGTAACACCCCTGGTATGACTATCTCCAGTGAGACCAGCCAGCGTGAGATGGTGGCTTGATCATTGCCCCGTTGGAGTGGAAAGGACATTGGACCTTCTCCTTGTCGTGAGAGGACAGTGGAGTCCAGCTCTCTGAAATTCTCTGAAATTCTATGAAATCCATCTGTACCCTGAAGGGTCTCTCTGGACTATGAACCCTGGACTGGCCCTCTTTTCCACCTTGGACTCGGACGTACAATGACGTACAAGAAAGCCGACCTGCTAGCATTGCAAGAGTCCCCCCTCTCGCAAGTTTGGCCCTCCACTTTATCGAGGGCCCACCTCGATGACGGGCTTTGGAACCCCAAGAGGTGGCATGCAAAAACTAGAGGGTTGAGGGGTTTTATATCAAAAAATTTTTGTAAATTTTTTAAGGGGTTCTAGGGAAGGGGAGGGTTTGATTGGAATGCGGGTCGTGGGTATGGGGGATAGCCCACAAAGGGGAGGGGCGGGCCTGGCAAGGAAGCACGGCATGGGAGTTGGGAATCTCGGGGTCGAGGGGGGAGTCATAGTTTGTCCAGATAGTGTTCTGAATATCATTACCGTGAGTGGGAGGGGTAGGTATGGCGGGAGCAGGGGGCCATATCGAGTCAAGGGAGCACGTACCCGCTGTTTACAAGCGGTGACATGCTCCAGCCCCCAAGGCTCCACCCGTTCCCCAGGTTGCACAGACCCTCAGGACCCAACCCTTTGGCTGATGCTGTGCAATGCCAGGTCCGTAGTAAATAAATTCCCCCTCATTTGTGATCTTGTTTGTGAGGGGGGAGCGGACCTGGCGGGTATTACGGAGACCTGGTTGGGCCAGGAGGGGGGGGGTCCCCCTCATCGAGATGTGCCCACCAGGTTTCCTCGCATTCCATCGGCCGAGGTTACAGGGCAGGGGCGGGGGAGTAGCGGTTATTATTAAAGAAGGTCTGAGACCGAGGGAGGCCACTGTTCCTCAGACAGCCGGCTGTGAGTCCCTCCTCGTGAAGTGGGGTCATGGGGTTCAGATGGGTTTGCTGATCATGTACCTGGCTCCCTGCCACGTGGCAACAGCCCTGCCCGAGCTACTCAACGTCATCTCCGCGGTGGCGGTTGATACCCCCAGGCTTATGGTCATGAGGGATTTCAACCTGCCGTCTGTGGTTGAGGCATCTGAGGTGGCTCGGGTGTTCATGGCTTCCATGACAGCCATGGACCTGACCCAGTTAATCATGGCCCTACCCACATGGGGGGAAACACGCTGGATCTGGTTTTTATCTCTGGACAGTGGCTGAGTGATCTTGAGATAGGGGATATAGTTACCGAGCCCTTGTCATGGTCAGATCACTCTCTCCTTCGTCTCGACCTTCAAACCGCTGCACCCCACCGCAGGGAGGCGGAGCCAGTAAGATGGTTCCGCCCCAGGCGCCTGATGGAACCTGATAGGTTCCAGATGGAGCTTGGGCCATTTCCCGAGGCTCTGGCACACGCCTCGACTGGAGACCTAGTGGCCGCCTGGGATAGGGTGGCCGCTGGAGCTCTGGATCGGGTCGTGCCTTTGCGGCCTCTGACCCGGCGCCGATCTCATTTGGCTCCTTGGTTCACTGAGGAGCTGAGGGAGTTGAAGCACCGGAAAAGACGCCTAGAGAGTAATTGGAGGGCCAGTCTTTCTGAATCGGACCGGACACTGGTAAGATCCCATATTAGGAATTACCTAGTGGCGATAAAAGCAGCGAAATGTAGTTATTTTGCTGCTCTTATTGCGTCATCAGATAACCACCCGGCCACCCTGTTTAGGGTGACCCGCTCTCTGCTCCACCAGGAAGTGCGGGAGGACCCCTTGGAGGGTCGAGCCGAGGATTTTGTTCAGTATCTGTATGACAAAATCAGTCAGATTCGGGAAGATCTGGACTCCGACTGGGTAGTCTCAGGGGGAGGGACTGGGGCAGGTCTTGAGAATGTTATCTGGGATGAGTTTGATCCTGTGACCCCTGAGGACGTGGACAGGATTCTGGGCAGACTGAACGCGACCACTTGTTTATTGGACCCGTGTCCTTCCTGGTTAGTGCTGGCTTCCCGGGAGGTGACGTGAGGCTGGCTCCAGGGGATTATAAATGCTTCATTGGGTGAGGGTGACTTCCCCGCCGCCTTGAAAGAGGCGGTGGTGAGGCCTCTCCTCAAGAAGCCTTCCCTGGACCCGGCAATGTTGGTTAATTATCGTCCTGTCTCCAACCTTCGTTTTGTGGTGAAGGTTGTCGATTGTGTGGTTGCGCAATAGCTTCCCCAGCACCTGGATGAAACGACGTATCTGGATCCATTCCAGTCAGGTTTCAGACCCGGGTACAGCATGGAAACGGCATTGGTCGCATTGGTTGATGATCTCTGGAGGGCTCGGGACAGGGGGTGCTCCTCTGTCCTGGTTCTTTTAGATCTCTCAGCGGCTTTTGATACCATCGATCATGGTATCATGCTGCACCGGTTGGAAGAGTTAGGAGTGGGAGGCACTGTACTATGGTGGTTCTCCTCCTTTCTCTCTGGCCGGTTGCAGTCTGTGTTGGCAGGGGGGCAGAGGTCGACCCCGAGGCCCCTCATATCTGGGGTGCCACAAGGGTCGGTCCTCTCGCCCCTTTTGTTCAACATTTATGTAAAGCCGCTGGGTGAGATCATCCGTGGTTTCGGGGTGAAGTACCACCAGTACGCTGATGACACCCAGCTGTACATCTCCACCCCGGACCACCCCAACAATGCCCTTGAAGTGATGTCTCGGTGTCTGGAGGCTGTGCGGATCTGGATGGGGAGGAACAGGCTCAGGCTCAACCCATCCAAAACCGAGTGGCTGTGGTTTCCGACGTCCCGATATAGTCAGTTGATGCCATCGCTGACTATTGGGGGCGAATCGCTGGTCCCCATGGAGAGGGCTCGCAACTTGGGCGTCCTCCTGGACTCACGGCTGTCTTTAGAAGAGCACTTGACGGCCGTGACCGGGAGGATTTTTCATCAGGTTCGCCTGATTTGCCAATTGCGTCCCTTTCTGGATCGAGACTCCCTACACACAGTCACTCATGCCCTCGTTACCTCCTGCCTGGACTATTGTAACGCTCTCTACATGGGGCTCCCCTTGAGGAGCACCTGGAGGCTCCAACTGGCGCAGAGTGCGGCCGCGCGGGTGGTTATGGGATCAACATGGCGCTCCCGTGTGACACCTCTCCTGCGTGAGCTGCACTGGCTCCCGGTGGTCTTCCGGGTGCGCTTCAAGGTTTTGGTCACCACCTTTAGAGCGCTCCATGGCTTAGGACCTGGCTACTTACGGGACCACCTACTACCACAAACAGCCTCCCACCGGCCAGTACGCTCTCGTAGAGAGGGGCTCCTCCAGGTGCCGTCAGCCAAACAATGTTGACTGGCGGCCCCTAGGGGGAGGGCCTTCTCTCTGGGGGCACCTACTATCTGGAATGAGCTTCCCCCAGAGATACGGAGGATCCCAGATCTGCGCACTTTCCACCGTGCTTTGAAGACACTCCTATTCCAGCAGGCCGGCCTGGCCTAATTTTTTCCCCTTCTTTTAAATTTTTAAACTCAAATTTTAATTCATTTTAAAATTATTGGGAGTTTTAAATTGTCTCGGGCAAAAATTATTTAATTGGGTTTTAATCATGTCTTAACTTTTGCATTTATGTGTTTTATTTCGTGCCTGTTCACCGCCCTGAGTCCTTCAGGAGTAGGGCGGTATACAAATTTAATAAAATGAAATGAAAATGAAAAGCAGGAGACCCTATTCCATTCTGGACAAGTGGCTGTCCAATCTCTTCTTAAAAACCTCCAGCTATGAAGCACTCATAGCTTCTGAAGACAAGCTGTTCTTAGTTTAGTTCTCCCTGTGATTAGTTTCCATCAATGTCCTTTTCTTCCTCCTTAGGAATCCCACTGGGTCAGCAGCCAGCAAGGATAAGTGGCCACTCTATAATGCCACAAAGCAGAATTTCTTCCTTCTTAATACTGAGCCATTCCAGGAAAGGGTGAAAGAGCACTGTGATTTTTTAAAGAGCCTTTTTTCAAAGGCTGAAGAGACACGTAAGTTTAGCTATTAGTTCTGCCTTTGGAAGGGAGTAGTGGTTGATGAAAAAGATGTTTTTAAAAATCATTTATATATCAAATATAGAGATCGCCCATCTCACTCAATCTCTAAAAATTGATTTTATTGCCACTCTTTGCTGAAACATATTCATTTGATTACAATTTGATAATGCTAGTGATAAATTTTGTAGAGCAAACATATTTCATGATGTCCCAAGAGTTGGGTCTCTAGTAATGTCCTCTAAGTAAGCCTTAGTTGCTCACATAAAGATAACAACAACAACAACAATAATGAATCCCAAAACATCTGGATCACTTCTTGACCACCATCGTCATTGACAAAATCCCTCTCAGTCAATTGCAAAAGGCAGCTTTATTTGGAACAGATTACATCCTGCAATGATAACTTTAATACCATCAAAAAATATCTGCCCATCCCAGCATTTTTGGAAGGACAGAGTAGGTAGACAAAAAATGTCACATCCAATCTAAACATCTGGCTGACCATGTGACGAACAATAATGTTTTGATAGATATTTAATAAACATCTATTATGCCATAATCATGGAATCCTCAGAATCCTACTTCTAGATTCAGATTCTTTAGTGATAAGATGTACACCTTATCTTGATATTTCATTTTTCTTTGTTCTGCAGAGCAGTCAGAAAGTGATTCTGTTTCATCGGACTAGGAAGAAGACAGCAGGTAGGAATCCAGTGCTTGGTTGTAGTAACGGCTGACAATTGGGATCAAGATGGATGATTTCAGAAGGGGACTAGACTTCTTCCTAAATAGTAATTTCACATCGGCATTTCAAACCATTTTTAAGTAGCACTTTTGTGGCTCAGCTTCACTGTGTGAAATGGAAGTTCTCCAAGCTGTTGCCAATGGCCTTTGTGGAAGAGGAACCTGGAGAAACCTCTAGATCTTAGCAAAAACAAATACAGATCTTGGGCATAGGGAAAAGGAATGAGCCACCAAGAGTAACTTACAGAGAAGATTATGCAGTGCTGAGAAAGAGAAAGCATGAGAATGAAATTCAGCCTGTGGGGAAATCAGTTTTCATATGAATGAGACTATTTAATAGATAAATGGAAAACATTGGGAATTTCTCCTTGTAGCCCAGTGATAAATGTTATCAGAACATTCCCATAGGCACCCCTGAATCTCAAGATGCAAATATTTCTTCTAACGAAGACCATTGTCCTCTCTAGGTAACAGAAGGGCAGGAAGTAACTTGGAATACTCAGATCCACTTTTCTTGCACTGTAACCACTTGACTTTAGTAAAAGTATCCCTTTTGCTACAAATGGATTCGAGGGTCTTTCTTTCCTGAACATCCAAGCTGGGACAAGCCTGACAGCACCCTTTTCTCTGCAAGAGTTCCTCCCACTATTTTCTCAAGGGAATTTCTCCACTGCACACAAACAAAAACAGTAAATACTGCAGCAAGCCTTGATTACGTGCTTTGGGTCCAGCATTTTGATTCCACAAACCCCTCCATGTTTAGTATAAGGGGAATACAGAGCACCTTAGGTGGACCTTTAAGGTTAAGATTAAGGCACCAGGCTAGACATCAGGAGATTGTGAGTTCTAATCCTACCTAAACCATGAAAGCCAGAAAGGTACGAATAGAACTCTCAGTCTGGTAACTTTTAGCCTGGTGCCTTAATCTCAAAAACTCATCTAAGGTGCTCTGTGTTCCCCTTATAATAAATAGGCAGATTTTAGACTAGTCACTCTCTCTCAGCCCAACTCACCTCACAGGGTTGTTGTTGTTGGGAAAATAGGAGGAGGAAGGAGTGTGGGGTATGTTCTCCACCTTGGGTTATTTGTAAAAATAATAAAGGTGAGATACATGTAATAAACAAAAATAAATAAAATTATCTTACTACAGAGAAGATCATCCTGGAATCTCTGCTTTGCCTATGTCTTGAACTGGCCTACTATGAAGGGCTGCCACATAGGTTGAACCTCTTTGAAAATGGCAGCCATATCTCAAAGGCACCATTTGAAAACCTAGCTACAGTTTTGTTGGCTTCAGAATAATGGTTGTGTGTTTATTTCTCTCAGGAATCAATCAAGATTTATCTTTAAAGCCTGGGCAAATGATGACAAGCTGCACCAGAGAACCTTCCAGAAGCATCCATTGTCCTTTCAGGGACTGACTGGTGGGAACTTGGAAGACAAATAAGGAGACGACTAAAACCCACATCACTTTTGCTGTTAAAATAATAAATTGCTAGGAGTAATTTGTTATATCTTGATTTGAGAGAGGAGTTTAATCAATCCTGCTCCCTCAAAAAAGAACCTAGTAATAAATACTGTTTGACTTCTTAGGATAAAAATCATTTTATTTTCACAATGAAGGGAAATAGTAACAAGGCTATGATAAATAATAGTAGAATATAATATACTGGAATACTAAAATTAGTAGAAACTTGTTATTCTGTAAACATTTGTTTCCTGTAGCACATATATATGCTACATTATGCCTTTGCATTTGTATTTCCTATAAATAACTTCCTGCAAGAAAGATATGTTCTATTAGGCCTCTGTAAAGTATCTGGAATTTGTCAAACGTATGTTCCTGCCATCAATCTGAATCCACATCAGTCTTATTCCTGTTTTTCTCCTGCCATCCAAAGCCTGGTACTTATCTTGGTTTGGTGCTGTATACATCATCCGGGGGATAACTTACACCTCAGCCCTAATTTACACCTTTGATCTGTGTTGTTGGGCGCTCAGTTTCCTTCCCTGCAGCACCAGGGGGCCTAGTGGCCAATTGGGAGAACAAAGGAATACTCAAGGATAAATAAGAGGCATCTATCCTTTGCAGGGCTATTGGATACAAACCTAAATTAGGAGGCAGCAATTGGGGACTTAACTGGTGTTTCTAACAGTATAAAAAGGATGCCATACCTTCTCTGAGGTGTGGCCTTTCCTTACATATCTCTTTTTGTATATGTTTACCCAGCTTTTTACTTTTGATTAAAATTAAACACTGATTCTTTCTCACAAGCCTCTGCTTCAGTTCTTTTGGCTCATTGTTGGCTTAAGCACATAGCCAGACCTTACAACAACAACTTAAGAACTTGATGCAATATGGAAAAATGAAGGAAACAGAAATTCTGCCAAATTTTGCTATATCCTAATGACACACACAGCTTTTTCATAGGGCTGAGCTCCTTAAATCTAATAAATGGGCAGGTTTGATATTCTAGGTCCATGATGGTGAACCTATGACACGCGTGCGGCAGGTGGCACGTGTAGCCGTATCAGTGGGCATGCGAGCTCAGCTCCAGTGCACATGCGGGAACCGGCCAACTGGCTTTCGGGCCTTCTGGGCCCACCAGAAGTAGGGAAACAGGCTGTTTCCTGCCTCCAGAGGGCCTCGGGGTGGTGGTGGGGAAGGCTGTCCCCAGCCTCCAGAGCCTCTCTAGGAGTCTGGGGAGGGCGAAAACGGCCTTCCCCACCCCCCCTGGAGGCCCTCCAGAGGCCAGAAACAGCCCCTTTGCCAACTTCCGGTGGGACCGGAAGTTGTCAAATGGGCCATTTTCAGATTCAAATTCTTGAATACAGCTCATCTGTCTGGAACCCACATTGCATATTGGACATTAATACAATCGTATGAATCCAGAGATATTTCACGAGAAGAGTCCTCCACTCCTCTAGAACTTTGCCAGCTGATTTTCGGGCCTGATAGGTTCACCATCACAGACATATACTGTACCAGTGGTGGGTTGCCCCCGGTTCAGACCAGTTTGCAAGAACTGGTAGTAAAACCGGTGAGAGGCCCCGCCAACTGCCCCGCATGTCGTCATCGGTGATCTGTGCATGCACAGAAGCAAGGAGCGCACGCAAGCAAAGATCTCGTTCTGAAACGGTAGTAAAGATAAGTAGAACCCACCCCTGTACTGTACCTGTGCATTTTGGTTTTCTTGCCTCAGTGTAGAATCTTACTTTTTTCACCATTGAATTTCATTTCATTTCATTTCATTTTATTTATTTATTTCATCAAGCATGTATTAGATAACAGATATAAGTATAAACATAATTACGTATACATGAAATGGATACAAATAAAAGGGAATATTAGGACAGGGACGGTAGGCACGCTGGTGCACTTATGCACTCCCTTTACAGACCTCTTAGGAATGGGGTGAGGTCGACAGTAGACAGTCTAAGGTTAAAGTTTTGGGGGTTTGGGGAAGAAACCACAGAGTCAGGTAGTGCATTCCACGAATTAACAACTCTGTTACTAAAGTCGTATTTTCTGCAATCAAGTTTGGCACCGTTTACCATAAGTTTGTATCTATTATGTGCTCATGTATTGTTGTGGTTGAAGCTGAAGTATTAATTGACAGGTAGGACATTGTAGCAGATAATTGTATTACGCTTAGGTCAGACCAGTGGTGAAATCCACATTTTTTTACTACCGGTTCTGTGGGCGTGGCTTGGTGGGCGTGGTGTGGTGTGGCTTGGTGGGCATGGTGTGATGGGTGTGGCAGGGGAAGGATACTGCAAAATCCCCATTCCCTCCCCACTCCTGGGAGAAGGATATTGCAAAATCTCCATTCTCACCCCACTCTGGGGCCAGCCGGTTCTCTGAACTACTCAAAATTTCCCCTACCAGTTCTCCAGAACCTGTCAGAACCTGCTGGATTTCACCCCTGGATTGGATCCTTCATTTGCTGAAAGGCCTGGAGAGCACTTCCATAGACTCTATTGTCCTCCTGTGCTGCGAATTGTGAATCACAGAAGGTCAATGTAGCATTTCCCTTTGTTGGGTATTTGGAGAGTTGTCGTGTTTGTATACCTGAAGATTGGGAAAGGCTGGAATGGACAATTTTAGAGTAAACCGATGTGGTTTGACCAGATGTTTCCCAAGACTTGTTTTGCTATGGCAGTTATTTCACAGGCTTCCATAAAGGAAAAGGCTCATGGGGAAACATGAGTTGTGACAGTGTGATGCAAATACTGTCACTTACACATCCTTAAATTGTAAGGGAAGAAATGTTTCAGCAGGCAAGAGTGAGTGCCGCTGACTGTGAAGACCATATTGAGAGGGTAAGGTTTATGATGCTATGCCATGGTCCATCATTTTTGTTCCCATCAGTTAATAGCTGATGCCCATGAGTGAGAACCACCTAAATCAACCTGTGTGCCAACCTGTGTGTAACATCCGTGTATTTCTTAACATGTCATCAGAAAGAAAATTCATTGAAAAGTCAGCATTTTTCACAATGTGATCCAAGCAATCACATACAAAAGACATTCCTCACACAACAATCATGTTCATATAACACATTAGAGCCACTTCAGTTTTAGTGTGTCAGCCAACCACATTTTATCACTAAATGTTGGGTGAATCGAAACCTATGTGGTTAGGTTATGGCTTAGTGTGTCACCCAAACTCAGAAACTATTTAAGGCAGGGGAGAAAAGCTCCCTGTTCAACCTGGATTGCCCGATCTCGTAGCGATGGTGGTGGGCGGTTTGTAGAACCGGTAGGAAAAATCCCTGTGCCCCCCCCCCCATGCCCAGCTGAGCCGTGTGATCATCAAAGTCTTTTTTTTTACTTTTAAAAGCATTTTTTCTACAACCTCTTCGGCAGAAAGGCAGAAAGAAAAAATACTTTTAAAAGGGAAATAAAAGTTGGCCACGCCCACACAGTCACTAAGTTACTAAGCCATGCCCACAGAACCAGTAGTAACAAATTTTACATTTCATTACTGGTTTAAGGTATTTGTAGGATTTTGTTTGTTTGATTAATTATTGAGTTTTAGCTAGTATGATGAGCCAACAAAAATCTTCTATAATTGCAATAGCAAAAATGATAAATAAATAAATCAAGCAAGCAAGTAAATCATGTAAAATCATTGTTCAGTTAAACTATGGAAAACATCTGAAAAAATCTCCAGTATGAGCTGATATTTACTGACCAGCAAAGGGATTTTGAGTGGCTGAGATGATACATCTATAGAATAACTAAGAGCTATAGAAAATAATGTACTTATAACATATATCCCTATTTGGAATAGTATGTTTGATTTATTAAACTACCTCAGAGATATTATGGAGAAAGTACAGAAAATAAAGCTGGAACAATTTTCCCATAAAGCAAAGAAGGCCAGCTGTATTGCTAAATTTAGGCAACCATTTTTAAAAATGGCAAATTATTCATCCTTATCTTGCTATTTATTCTACATAAATACACTGTACAGTAACGAAGTGGCCAGTTTGGTGTAGTGGTTAAACATCATGCTAGAAAATGGGAGACCATGAATTGGGCATGAAACCTTGGCCCAGTCATTTTCTCTCAGCCTTAGGAAGCAGACAATGGCAAACCACCTCTAAAAAAAAAGCTGGTCAAAAAACATGCAGGGACTTGTCCAGGTACTGGACATGATATTACCCATACAATTGTGTCCGAGTCTTGGCAATTCTTTGGGACAGGTCTCTACACATCTTCCAAGAACCTAATATAGGTTCAATTTAGACCCACCAAACTTTATTATTTTTATATGGTACGCATTTGTAGCAACACAAGACTCATTCCCTCCCCAAGAGCAAGAGATGGATTGATCCAAAGTCTTGCAGTGAGATTTGATGGTAAATTAAACCCCCCACCCAATTTCCCCCATTCCAGGCAGAAGAAGTCCATGGTGAATGGAGGTACAAGAACACGGGTCTTCCTGTTCCTATCCCTTTATGCCATTCTGTTCTTATCCACACTCTCTCAAATGGCTGCCATGGTCGTGGCTGTGAAGGAAAGGTTGCAATCTCTTAAATCTGCTCAGTTTAAGAGAAAGTTTGATAAGCAGAGACCTGGGAGAGGTTCATTCATTCATTCATTCATTCATTCATTCATTCATTCATTCATTCATTCATTCATTCATTCATTTATTTATTTATTTATTTATTTATTTATTTATTTATTTATTTATTTATTTATTTATTTATTTATTTATTTAAAATTTATATACCGCCCTTCTCCCTGAGGACTCAGGGAGGTGTACAGCCAGAATTAAAAAACATAAAATACAAATATTAAAAAACAATTAAAATATATATAAATTTGCCCCAAAATTAAAAATACAAACCAATTAAAACATTTAAAATTTCTTCTTAAACCAGCCCGGCTTGCTGGAAAAAGTGGGTTTTAAGGGCACAGCGGAAGGCACTGAGGTCTTGGATTCTCCTTATCTCTGGGGGCAACTGATTCCAGAGGGTAGGTGCCCCCACAGAGAAGGCCCTCCCCCTGGGGGTCACCAGCCTACATTGATTGGCTGATGGCACCCTGAGGAGGCCCTCTCTGTGGGAGCGCACGGGACGATGGGAGGTCGTCGGTAGCAGCAGGCGGTCTCGAAGATAGCTAGGCCCGATGCCATGGAGCGCTTTAAAGGTGATAACCAGCACCTTGAAGCGCACCCGGAAAACCACTGGGAGCCAGTGCAGCTCGCGCAGGAGCGGTGTTACATGGGAGCGCCATGCTGCTCCCGTCACTACCCGCCCTGCTGCATTCTGGACCAGTTGGAGCCTCCGGGTGCTCTTCAAGGGGAGCCCCATGTAGAGAGCGTTGCAGTAGTCAAGGCGAGAGGTGATGAGGGCATGAGTGACTGTGCACAGGGAATCCTGATCAAGAAAGGGCCGCAACTGGCGGATCAGGCGAACCTGACAAAAGGTCCCCCTGGTTACAGCTGTCAGATGTTCCTCCAAGGACAGCTGCATATCCAGGAGGACTCCCAGATTGCGAGCCCTTTCTGTGGGGGCCAAAGACTCGCCCCTAATAGTCAGTGATGGAGTCAACTGACTATATTGGGATGCCGGGAGCCACAGCCACTCAGTCTTGGAAGGGTTGAGCTTGAGCCTGTTCCTCCCCATCCAGATCCGCACAGCCTCCAGGCACTGGGACATCACTTCAAGGGCATCATTGGGGTGGCCTGGGGTGGAGATGTACAGCTGGGTGTCATCAGCATACTGGTGGTATCTCAGCCCAAAGCCACGGATGATCTC